TCTGCATAGATCCCTAGCAGATTTGTGTTAGTTTTCTGTAGTACAATAGTACAATAATTACCTTTTATATTTTTGTTCGATTTTTTCCCCCTTTTGTACTAGGATTGTTATGATATCAGAAGACTGTTAAATCGTTTTATGCAGTAATTTGTTTGATCAATAGGTACTATGTAATATATTATACCACGTGTGTCAGGTCGATTGTAATAAGACATGCTATATGGAAAACAATTTATGATTTTAACTAAAATCTATACTGACTTATGGTCGTTCATTATTTTCAAACTTCTTAATATGTACACATTTAGTGATGAACTGATTAATAACGGACAAACTTTCGTCTATTAGAAAAGGAGCAATGACAGCGGGGAACCAATTACAGTAATTGCATTGACCTTAAACAAACAAGAGAAATTGTTTATCATTTCACAAATCCCAAATCTCTTATCGAAATAGTTAAATATCATCAATGCTGGACGTTTGCTGATTACCTTTTCGTTTGTCTGATGGCATTTCCTTTAACATACTTTATTACAGTTTTATTGGCCAAAATGACTTCATCTGTGTTGAGAGGCCATTACCACTGTAATAACACAACAAAACTTCCTCAATGCCAATTTGAGGGGATTATGTTGCCTTTGCTTTTATTTCGATGCCTTCGCTGTTTCTTTTGTTTGATTTACGTATCCATTGCGTCTTCCAAACTGTCTCAATGTGTTGTCGTTAGGTACAGCTATTATTTCTAACATATTACCTGATTGTTGGTCTCTTTGTATATATGTGTGGATAAGTTGTCATTGTTCTCTTACATTAGGATTCGCTATGGGAATTACTTTTAGTACGATGCCCTTCTGATATATACTTACCGTAGTAATCAGGATTATCATCATACGATTGAAAGGTATCTGACACGTGTTGACTGATTATCGATAAAGATATATTATTTCAGTATTTAAGTCGATGAAAATAGTAGACGTCACCAAAGTAGGTCACGACAGGACCTTAAATGGGATGTTATTAGCTACATTTTTGTACTTCGTACTTTTGCATTTTTTACTTGACTTTACTCCATTGTATTTTATATAAAAAAAAATCCAGATATGAAAAAAAAGTTATCCATTAAGTTCATTTCAATAATTACAAGAGACGTTATCGCCTTTCAATGTTTTGTTACACTTGAAGAGATATTATCTGTTCTCGGCTTGCAACAGGAGGAAAACATCCTTGTAGGCAAGTGATGTATGACACTGTGGTTGAGGATCAAGAGTCAACGATATGCAGCATGCCCTTCCCCGATAAGATAAGTGTCACCCATTGTCTACAAGGAAGGATATTTAATTCTTTTCTCATCGAGTGGCGCTCTTCAATATTTCCTTAGCTATAATAAAGAACAGTAAAAAGGGGGCAAGCACTTTTTGATTTAATCACTGTGGTCAGACCTAAAGAGATTTAAAAAAAAAACATACTGATATACTACTATTGTAAAGCTATATTAAGATGGATATACAGTAGACTTTTAGCGAACTCATCAATCCAGAAAACAACCTGTCCTTGTACGAAATACTCAATTGAACTTTATATGTGAACAATATAAAGCATTATTAAATAAAAATGTAATACAAAATATTAGGTTTAATTGCATTGTTTTGTTTATGTTGATTCAAACATTCAAGAAGAATGAGAAGCACGGTAAACTGATTAATTAGCAAGTTAGGTTTGTTTAGAACTGGTAAAATGTTATAAAAGCAAGTTGTATGCAAAGAATCAGAAATTGAGAAATACAATAAACATAAAAGTGTATCCTTGAAGTCAATAACTGCCTCCATTGAAAGTTATTTAGAATTGTTTACTCTGAGGTATGAGAGATAATTTCAATAAATAATATTAAATATTTTTAGAAGGGTCGATTCTTTTTTGATATATTTTAACAACATATACTCAATGCATTTTTTTTTTTATTATGTTTTCCAAAATTGTATGACATAAACATGTATGTATAGATATATATACATACATGAGCGTCTAGAATCGACTTTAAATAATGTACATACCGTGATAGTACTTCGTACATACTTTTCACATATTACTTTCAAGATTTAACACACTGATCAGTACATCTTTCATTCGCCTTCACATTTCATGCTGACCGCTTCACTTAATTCTTCTCCTAATAACAAATTTATTATTTATATATTATATTGCAAATAAATGCATAGTTTTACAACAGATAAAGCATTTATTTTAGAAAGTAATATTGATCAGAAGTTGAGACATTACTTTTTAATACAAATTTTAGCTTTTTTGCTGAACGGCCTTCATTTGTATTTACAACATCTTTTCGTTTCCTATTATACGTCAGGAAACTTTTATGGCTGTACCTTTACGGTGCATTATGTACCGAGGATAATTATTGTGAAACCATATAAACAGTGACAGCAAATAAAATCAGGAATCAATAACAGACCATTAATTCGTTTGTGATTATTTTCAAGCACATTTTTCATCCCGTGATATCATTACACTATAGTAAAAGTAAAAATAATGCATTAATTACAATTATATTTAAACTCAAAAGAATAATATAAAACATAATATACAAATTTGTTTTACGATTGTAAATATCTTTTTTAATAAAGACTAAAAGACTTACACATAATTTCTTTTACGACGTTTCCATTCAACTTTGCACTATTTTTTAAATTTATATTTACATTTTGTCCCCGTGTTTAAGGGTCTGCTAACAAATTCTTATTAAATTATTGACCAGGAATGATATTAGGTTAGTGTCATGAACGCCGATACGTGTACGTGTTTGCATTATAACACTGAAAATTATAAGGATTGTTCGTTAGATTCGATGTGTTTGTATTGTAATCCTAAAAATGACGATAGGTTTAATATTACATACATGTGTAACATTTGTATAACGCTGAAAATGTTGATAACTTTAATATTACAATTATCTGTATGTGTAATAATATTATTACACTGGAAATGATGATAACTTTTGTATTGCATATATGTGTTGGATAATATCATAATTCAAAAATGATGAAAGATTTTATAATACAAATATGTGTGTGATAGTGTTATTACACTGAAAATGTTGATAGATTTTATATTACACACATGTGTGTGATAGTATTATTACCCTTTAAAGGATATGTATTTGTTACATTACATGTGTGTCGAATGTCTGTATAAAGACATCTTTAATTGCATTATTTAATCGTTCAATATTTTCAAACGATTAAAAGAAATAAGACAAAATAATATCATAATGCGCAACTGTTTCTAAGTATCTTCAATGTTCAAACAAAGATCGATCACTTGATCCTTGCAACATTTTAACACCCCCACCACCCCCACCCCCCCTCACCCCTTAAAAAGGGAACCTATATAGGTTCAACTCAGTTTCTAAATACGTTATAATTCTATGTTACTGTATGTTTTGATTTCTTAGACTAGACATTGTGCTGATACAAGGTCTTACAAAAAAAGCCATCACTAATACACTTTTTTTGCCAATCATAAAAACTGGTATAGCACACAAAAGACTAGGAATCTTTATCCAAAGGCGAGGCATAACGTCTTTAGTTTTCTAATCGTATGTTTGCAATAAGGTTTCCACGACAACATGTATGTCTTCTCAATAAAAAAAACAACTTTAAAATGATAGAGTACTCCCGTGAAGATGGCAGGTGATGTTGTAACAAGTAATTATCGAAAAACATAATGAACAAACCCTCGGCAATAAGTGCTTCAGAAATACATTTTGTCAGCTCTTTGAATCCTAAGTGTAATGTTGTTTTGATACATAATTCTAAGTACCCTACAAGTATTGCTATCGCGAGGCAATTTCCAGTCTTGGTTCTCTGCCAGCGGAGTCAGGCGACAAGATTATGGTATTTGTTGTAAAATATTTTGTATGAATTCATATGTGCTGTTACACTTTGTATTCACAACGAAGTTTTTAAACTTTAAACTTGCACCGAATGGTTCTACATAGTTATCAAGTATCGTTGTATGTAAATTTTCTCAATATGTCATGTCCTCTTATTTTAAATGTTTGATACATAAAGACCTTGTCAATAAAATGTGAACATATATATATATATATATATTTATACAAAAAAACATCCGAAGTTCTTGTGGAATAGAAATAAAAGAAATGACACAAAGAGTACTTCGTCAGTATGCTTCTTTCTTATGAGGTTCATCCTAAATATAAAGGTATTAAAATATTCGTATTTGAATTTATTACATGAAGGGAAAATTACGTACATAGGAAAATTACTGCAGTACTAATGTTACAACATAAGTTTTCAAACACAACCCTTACACCTGTAGTTACTTTCACATTTGACCATTTTATTTAATAGTATTTCCTATTCTGGTAGTCAAACTTTGTTCGAATATTTCGAAATAGCGATATGGTTAATTTGTCACTATTTGGTAGATCTATATTAGGTTTCCACGTGTCAGCCTTAAACAAACTATGACGTATGTGCTGAAAGAAATATAGCCCCTTTAGATTAAGTCCCTCACCAATTATCCTGGTTCTTGGTTTTATAGGTTTAATAGCCTGACAAGTGTCTTGTTCCTTCTCTACGGGCTAATGAGCAGTAGAATTGTAATCCCTTCGACCACAAAGTACGTTACTCGGCCTTATTATAATAAATACATCCTCTCCAAGCCTAGAGTTTGATCATGATCGTTATTATACAACATCATATATGAAACAGCTGTTTAAGTTGAGAATCATAGTATACACGCAGCACAAGCACACCTCAGATTTCATATCTCAAAGGACTTGCTTATAAAGTAGTAAATATTCACAGATAAGTTTCTTTTCATTTGTAAATATGTAAAGTCAAAAAAGTGTCCGTTGTGAGATACTGACACTCGATAAAGAAAGGCCCCTAGAGTCCCAAGTGTTCCCAAAGAAGCTGTAAGATGAATATCAATGCAAGCACTTGTCTGCAAGCCTCCTACAAACCCTTACTTCTAAGTAGCATTACAAAATTTTGTCTATATCAACATCTATATATTTACCTGCCCAAGTCATTTTCAGCTTTCGTATTGTACAACAGAGAATACAACATCTTATTTTATTCTCTCCACATGTGCTTCTGTTTGATTACGTGTTAATAGTTTATTTTGAATATTGACCACATGACATCTGGATACATTCTAATATCGGGATTATACAATGGATATTTCCCATGCTTGAGGTAGGAACGCTTCCTTTATAAATCAGCAATTTAACGTTAAACACATTTTGAAAATGTCAATCTGTCAACATTTTGAAATATTTAGTTGAAACTGAAAATGATGGTCACACTGTCATAACTATATTTCTGTATTAAGCACCGCAATCCCTACTAGCTAACTAGATAAATGTTACCCTTTATCTGACAAATATGCCATTATATCAAGCTTGGGTAAACCCCTAGATTTGAATTTTGAAATAATTGACATTCAAATTCTGATACAAATGCTTAATGGCATTGTCTACTAGATAACAGATATCCAAATCTTATCAGTTTAGGAAGGTTATTATATTCGTCCATACGTAAAAAGAGTATATTAATTAGGAAGTGTGGAGTCACGATTTATTCCGTTGGCTTGCTATCTGATTGTCACAAAGACGACGTTCAGTTTATCGGCCGGGCGGTGTCGTCTGGCGGTGGTGCGTAATAGCAACCTACTTCAGTATACGGACGTATAGATTGAGGCCTAAATTGTACCGCCTATTGAAAATGATGTTAGCTGTAGCCAATTCGTCCCAAGTTTTCCTAACACAAAATAGTAGAAGTTATTCTTTTGAGGATTTATGGCAATCTGTAAGTTAAGTAATACGCATTTGACCTTTCAAAAATAATCCTGATATGAAGTCTAGGTTTCGGATCTCTTATTTAAATGTGTTTTACGCCTTGGCTGTGTATCATTATGACCTTTTAAAAATTGAGATATGATATGTATACGCGGTCATCACTATGAATTATATTCACATGTCTTACTGAACATTGCATATACAAAATATATCAATTTATATGAAGGATATATAATAACGAGAAAAGACAACGGAACTGATACCATGTTACAACATCTGTATGTACAGTTTAAGTAAGTAGGGGTGATTATTACAGATTTGAAACCATATTACAATGTTAGATATACAGATGAAAATGTCTAGCAACGATTTTCATCATCGAAGACTTATTCCAAAGTGATATACAATTTATATAATGAGGGCAGAGATTTAAAGTTTTGATGATATTACTGTATTATATAACGTTATATTACAGTCTCTTTAATTAGGAAAAACAATTTACAATACCGAGATAGTACAACGTTATATATACAATATCTTTAACTAGGAAAAGGGGTTTACAATTCTAAGGGAATACAACGTTATATATACAATATCTTTAATTAGAAACAAGTATTAACAATATCGAGGTATTACTACGTACGTTATATCACATTTTCTTTAATCAGAAAAAAAGGATTTACAGTTCTGAGTAATAAAACGTTATATATACAATATCTTTAATTAGGAAAAAGGATTTACAATACTGAGGTAGTACAACGTTATATTACAGTCTCTTTAACTACGAAAAAGGGTTTACAATTTTGAGATATTACACGTTATATATACAATCTCGTTAATTAGGAACAAGGATTTACAATGCTGAAGATATATCTACGTTATAATATATATAGGTTTTGTTTTAAGAAACCATATTACACCGTTATATACAATCTCGTTAAATAGGAACAAGGATTTACAATGCTGAAGATATATCAACGTTATATAAAGGATATGTTTTAATAAACCATATTACACCGTTATACACAATCTCGTTAAATAGGAACAAGGATCTACAATGCTGAAGATACATCAACGTTATATATAGGTTTTGTTTTAAGAAACCATATTACACCGTTATATACAATCTCGTTAAATAGGAACAAGGATTTACAATGCTGAAGATATATCAACGTTATATATATGTTGTTTTTTAAGAAACCATATTACACCGTTATGTACAATTTCTTTAAATAGGAACAAGGATTTACAATGCTAAAGATATATTAACGTTATATATAGGTTATATTTTAAGAAACCATATTACACCGTTATATGCAATCTCGTTAAATAGGAACAAGGATTTACAATGTTGAAGATATATATCAACGTTATATATATGTTGTTTTTTAAGAAACCATATTACACCGTTATATACAATTACAATCTCGTTAAATAGGAACAAGGATTTACAATGCTGAAGATATAACAACGTTGTATATAGGTTATGTTTTAAGAAACCATATTACACCGTTATATACAATTTCTTTAAATAGGAACAAGAATTTATAATGCTGAAGATATATCAACGTTATATATAGGTTATGTTTTAATAAACCATATTACACCGTTATATACAATCTCGTTAAATAGGAACAAGGATTTACAATGCTGAAGATATATCAACGTTATATATATGCTGTTTAAAAAAAACCCCATAATATACCGTTATATACAATCTCGTTAATTAGGAACAAGGATTTACAATGCTGAAGGTATATCAACGCTATATGTAGGTTATGTTTTAAGAAACCATATTACACCGTTATATACAATCTCGTTAAATAGGAACAAGGATTTACAATGCTGAAGATATATCAACGTTATATATATGCTGTTTAAAAAAAACCCCATAATATACCGTTATATACAATCTCGTTAATTAGGAACAAGGATTTACAATGCTGAAGATATGACAAGGTCATACATGTACATAGGTTAGTGAATCAGAAGAAAATATTCTAACTACCGAAACAATATTACAATATTAAATAAATAAATTCCATTTTTTCATTGGTCATACTGTAGAAACGTGTGGCCTAGGAACACTGTATGTAATATTGGACTGTTATCAATATAATTTAAGCCAACACTTACCATACCATGATTTGTGATGTTGGATTATCTGTAAATATATATATATGATCAATTAAGCATAAAAGCAAAGAATTCCCTGTGTAGCAGAAATGAAATCAAGAATTATGTGGTATTCTGCACTTCCAACGTTCAAAGTTTAATAACAATAGACTTATACTATCACCTTCTTTAAGTTACAGCAAATGAAATGAAATTTGTGCTGATATCTTATAAGTTGTCATACTAAAGAAGTTTATTTTTAAAACTTCACTAATAATGGTTTGAAAGAGGGCAAAATATTTTAAAATAACTCTTATCTAAATGTGTTTGAGATAATGGTAAATATTGTATGAGATGCAGTTGTAGAATTTATTTCAGCTACTTATTCTGTTTAAGTGTGATTGGTTTAACAAGAAAATAATATATGTTTTATGTTGAATAAATTATTTTTTAAATAGAGATGATAAGGTTATAATATGGCTGTTTTTTGTGATAATATTTATCATCCCATGGTGTGACTTCAAAATCTTCAGAAAATAACATATTTATTAATTTAGTTATATAATAACGTTTTAGTATATGATTTTGAATTCCTATTCATGTGTTAATCCATACTTTTATTACAATTCAGAATAACTGCAAAACATATTCGTATGACAAACATAGCAATACCTATACGTATTTCAATGTACGATATATATTACTTTGAAAGTTAAAATTGGGTCCTTTGTGTGTTGACGCTGTGTAAGATATATTCTTCTCACAGGACACTGCTTAACGGAACTCAGTTTTATCGTTTCTGTCACTGTATGATAATACCCACGAGGGACAGCTGTTGCGTGTTTATGACCGAAGTGTGGTATACACCCCCCGTATGGAAATAATCTGTTACAAATTACACATTTCTTTCAACTAAAAATGCAAAGAAATTATATAAGAACACAAAATGACAAATTCTAGAACAATTATCGAATTTAATACTTTTGCGGTAAAAATATTACCATCTTTTGCCATGTATGTTTCGTCTTAAGTCTTATTTGTATCTTTGAGTTTTTTGGTCTTTAGAGTAACATGATTGACGGTGGTTCTGTCTTTCACATATCTGTTCCGTGGGAATGCATGTTATAATTCTTCCTCCGGCGTTGATGCTGACCACAACCACGGGAGCATTTCCTTAAACATTTCTATATCGCGCAAGGCCAGGTTTTATTCCTGAGCTATTTTCACTTTTCTAGAAATAAAACGTTACGTGTACATTGTAAATACAACATGTAAGTTCATCTCCTGCGCGGTGTGTGTTCGGCGAACTATTGCTTAATCTTATTAAAATTGACGGCGGATGCCATCAATAATTATCGTGGGTTGTAGTTTTTACTCCGAAGCAAAATAACTATATTTAAATAGAAAAAAACCGCAATACAAACCTGAACGTTTTTATAAATATCGTTTTTGTAACTTTCTCTATCAATCATATGAAATAGGTATACCACCCGGTAAAATACGTATTCAAATACAAACAACATTAACAATATATCGATTCCTTATTGCTATACAGCCTAATCGATTTGTGTTTAAACATAAATCATTGGTCCTTCGTCATAAAATATAAGATATTGTGCATAATCCAATGCTAAGATAAATCAGAGATAAATTTCTATTCCTGATTCGTACATACATTATCACAACTTCCAGCTATTTTTCTCTTTTGTTTGACAGTTTGAAGCGAATATCAAAGTATTGCTATTATAATAAAATAGTAAAGCCAACGGTTAAATGATAAATACCTTCTGGCATGATTAACGCAGCTATAAAATGTTCAGACCAATTATCTGAATTCTTATACAGTCCTAAACTACAATACAAGTTTGTACAGACATATTATCAAATAAAATACCGGTAACATCATAAGAGAATTTGACAACATGTTTAAAATGGTTTGGTCGAATGTTGCTTCATGGTATATTTTTCCATAATAATATGATAGTACTGATATATATATACTCACAAAATTGCACTGATTTACAATTATTGTTCCTAAACAATGAAATACGTCATGCATTTGAAATATAATAAATTGGATAAATGAAATATTACACTTGTTTTCGAAAACTGTTTTGCGCTGCAATATATTTGTTTTGTTAGGCAATTTAGTTGAAACTGAATTTACCGCAACCCTCTGAAAATTGACCCATCCACTTTAAGAATATTGTCAAAGATTAGAATACCCTCCATCATATGATACATTTGTATTTTGATTTTTAAGACAGGTTAAGCCAATAAGTG